ATAAACAGCAAAGTCTTTTTATATTTTCAATGGATTTAAGAGGCTAGATCCAATATCAATTGTTGATATTTTCTTCCAATATTTTTATAGAACATAGCTTCTCACTTTAAAAATATTTGAAGAGATGCCCAGCTGAGGGATATAATTACACACCTGTAAAAAGAATTTATCTGAAAATGGTCAACAGGTGATGGATGTACAATATATGCTAAAGTTTGTGGACGAAAGTTGGAGGAGATACAGGATTTGCATAATCTTAAAAAATCTCCTCAAGGTATTTATTAACTAAAAAGGGATAAAAAGGTAACCTGACAGTGGGGAAACCTAGCAATCACTAAATTATCCAAGTGATCAAGGTAAACGTCACTAATATGGTGAACTGAGAAGGACACAGCATTATTCTTCTGGTTTTCTTCCCAAAGTGCACCATCTCCCTCCAACTGGAATGCATCACACAAATCCAGATCAATGGACATCCTATAAAATAATAGATAGATACTCTTCAAAACTTTCAAGGTCACGAACACTAGGGAAGACCAAGGGACTTTGATAGACTAAGTATAAATAATAACTAAATGCAACATGAATCCCTGGGTCTGATCCCAGAACAGAAAGAGGACTTGGGGGGGGGGGGGGCAGGGAATGGATAAAATTCAAAAAAAGTTTGTAGTTTAATTAATAAGACTATGTCAATGTTATATTTTTTATTCCTGATAGCTGTACTATGGTTATGTAAGATGTTAACATTACCAGAAATGGGTTGAGAGATATAAAATGAGTTTTTACTATGTTTGCAACTTTTCTGTAAGACCAAAATTTGTTCAAAATAAAAGAAATTTTTGGAATTAGGTGCTTAAAACATGAAAGAAAGAAAAGGAATTATCAAATATTTTTTGAGTCCCTAGTATAGGCTAGAAACTGTTCTAGACATAGTCATGAATGAGCCAAATTCCCCACTATCTGATTTATACTTCCTTTGCAAATATTGAACAAATAAAAAGGAAAAATTGAGCTGTTAAATACAAAGTGAAATAAATTTAATAAGTATAAATTTAATAAATATTATAATGTCTGATTGAAATAGCCTATGAACTATTTTACCAAGATTCCTGATGAGATTTACAAATTACATACCAGATATCTACCCCACCCTTTGTTCCCTCTGCCAGCAAGCCTGCCATCTAGTGATGGGATGGGGAACTACAACAATATATCTACAACCTCTAAATCAGTGGTTCTCAACCTTCCTAATGCCACGACCCTTCAATACAGTTCCTCATGTTGTGGTGACCCCCAACCATAAAATTATTTTCGTTGCTACTTCATAACTGTGATTTTGCTACTGTTATGAATTGTAATGTAAATATCTGATATGCAGGATCTATTTTCATTGTTACAAATTGAACATAATTAAAGCATAGTGATTAATCACAAAAACAATATGTAATTATATATGTGTTTTCCGATGGTCTTAGGTGACCCCTGTGAAAGGTCGTTTGACCCCCAAAGGGGTCTCGACCCACAGATTGAGAACCGCTGCTCTAAATTAATGAGTCAGCTAAAAACTAGGGATTACAGGATTTTAAGAGGAGCTGTGGCAGAAGCAGTCTCTAAATTGACACTCTAACCTCTCCTCCAAAGTCCACAAAGGTATTGAGTAGCATGTAGCAATAGCGCAGAGGGTAAAGCATGGACTCAAATCTTGGCTCTGCAACTAACAGTGTGACATTAGACATGTTACTGACACTCTAAGTCGGAGTGACCAGGTGACATCACATACAGTTATGGGGATAAAATTGATAAAATACTTAAAATGGTTCCTGGCATGTAATAATACTTCAATAAATGGTAGTTTTTATTGATGTTATCCTCATGAAATGGTAGTTTTCATGGATGTCTTCCCACAGCACAGATACATCTTATATACATCTCATGTTATTGTCTCACCCACTAGGAGAAGCTCACGACACACCAATTGACACACAGGGTTACCTTGAGTGTAAAAGCTGCATAAAATTTAGCTGAATAACTGGCCAAATCGGTTACATTATTTAATGCAATGAGGTTTAACTTTTGACCATCCCTAGCAATTTTACTTGACTGGAATGGTGTCCTAACAAATCAGCAACCACTAAACAGCTCAGCTCCCTGTTAGCAACACCTTTCACTCAGTTAGACAGGCTGAAATTCCCCTGGCACTTGTGACAATTGTTGCAGTGAGTCAGCTGATCACAGTGGTCATTGACTCTCCTAAACTGTAACTTCGATGTTCTGGGGAACCCAGCTCAACACAAGGTGTACCTTAAGCCATCTGAGGTATGTGAGAGTATACAGACTCTTTCATCTCCTTTATCAGAAAAGACCATGCAGAAACAAAACATTTGTCCACAGTGCAGCCTGGGACCATTTTTTATAGACCATCCTATTAGAATTGTCTGCTGAACTCTACCGTTGGTCAAGTTCATGGCGTTATCTTAAGCCTATCTGATTTAATTATTTTTTAAATATATTTTTATTGATTTCAGAGAGGAATGGAGAGGGAGAGAGAGATAGAAGCATCCGTGATGAGAGAGAATCACTGTCCAGTTGCCTCCTACACTCCCCACACTGGGGATGGAGCCCACAACCGGGCATGTGCCCTGACCAGGAATCAAACCGAGAACTCCTGGTTCATAAGTCAACGCTCAACCACTGAGCCATGCCGGCCAGGCAAGCCTATCTTATTTAAACCAATGATCTTCACTTTCCAACTCTAGAACATAGTAGGCACTCAAAACATTGAAGCATTAAAGGGATGAATTCCTTAATTCATTCAACCCATATTTATTGACTACTATGCTCCAGGCATTGTTTGCACGAGGACCGTGGTTGGCAAACTGCGGCTCTCGAGCCACACGCGGCTCTTTGGCCCTTTGAGTGTGGCTCTTCCTAAGCCTTAGGAGTACCCCAATTAAGTTAATAACAATGTACCTACCTATATAGTTTAAGTTTAAAAAATTTGGCTCTCAAAAGAAATTTCAATCATTGTACTGTTGATATTTGGCTCTGTTGACTAATGACTTTGCCGACCACTGCACTAGGACAACAACACACAACAAGTTTTTTTTTTAATCCTGACCTCAACAAGTTCACATAATAATGGGAAGAGATTCTCCATACACAAAATAAATAAATAAAATATGTAATGAGAGCAATAAGTGCTAATGAGAAAAGTAAAACAGGGAAGAGTAATGCAGAAATTCAGGTGGTATGACATGCATGAGGAGGTGTTGAGGAAGCTCACAGGAACCTATTTGCATCCTAGAAAGAGTTTGTGCTCAGGAGGAAATTCAGGGTGTCCATGACCCAAGGACGGTGGTTCACATTTGGAGGCAAAGGGCAACTGTGCAAGCAGCCCACCCACCTGTGTGCTTGAGCCTAAATCCCAGGGAGAAAAGCCTCCATGGGACAGTTCGAGTAGCCTCTCCTTGAACAAGGCCGGAGACCTGCTTGGAAACTATGGGATGGGATAGCCAATCTCCATGGATGGGAGAGTTTTCCTATCCCAGCTTCCACTTCGAGCACTGAAACGCCTCCCCACTCAAATCCATGGGACCCTTTGGGCAGGAACAGCAGCTCCAGGAACTCAGGGAGTCTTGGCCTAATGCAGTTCTGGACGTAGCACCAACAGGTGGTGGCATCTCTGTGGACCTGTTGGTGAAGTCATAGGCTTCCCCACTGCTCTGTAGCACTAGAGGGGAGGGAGTAGATTCCACACTAAGGCAACCATGAATTGGGAAAAGTGTGGAATCCCAGACAGGATTTGGGGAGCTAGGGAAGTGAGGCATGAGACTCTGAAGGACCCACAATATTGAGTGAGATCCAATACAAAGTTTCATGTAGTCTGAGAGACACAGGGTATACAGAGTCATATAAAGATTTAATTAACAGAAAGCAGTATTTAAAAAAATAAATCTGTAGATTGCATATGGAATTCGGAAACCCTGCCAAATCCCAGTCTGGTAAATGTCAGCCAACAGCTTTATTACGTCTTAACAAAGGATCTTTTCAACATGTGCTGAAGGTGATTGGGGACTAGACTGGGGAATTCTTGGCATAAATGTCAGAGCTGTTGTGGCTGACTCTGACTCATGTCCATATTACTGGACAATTCCATCACCCAATTAAGCATTCCAGTGGCGCCTTTCACTGTCACACCTAAATTGTCAACGATGCTATCTATCTACGTGTAACCAACATAAACCATGAGCCGGTTGCAAAATGGCCCAGTCCTACAACAGTGATTATTGACATGGAAAATGTTCTTCTGTGATTTAATCCATGTAGTTTATAATGCCTCTTTCCCATCATGAAGATGGCCATTTGGAAACCCAAGTGATCTTTCTAGAATGTGAATCTGATCAAGTCGCTTTCCTCAGAAAAGAGCCCTCACTCCCTGAAATGCCTCTCAGGGGTCATCACTTAAAGGAATCCCCCCTCCCACCACATCACTCCATCTTCATGGCTTGTTTTTATTGAGAAAAGTCTTCTCACAGCAGCCATCACCCATTGTCATTACTATTCTACAGTCTGCCTTCTCTGCCTTCTCTTCATATTAGCTTATGAAGACAAAGACTGGCTTAACATGGTGCTGGAACTTAGTAGGTACTTAAAATATTTCTTCAGGAAATGAATAATGAAAGGACAAGAATCTTTTAAAGTTATTAGTTTGGGGTAGTAAATCTGGTGTTTGGCTGGAGATATATGTGTCTTTGGGGGTCTGGCCATGCTGAGCTGAATGCCTCACTGAGCTCTGCTTTCTCTATTGACACAAAGGAAACACGTGCCACTAGTGGAGAGAGATCAAAAGAGTCTATTACTCCATTTAGGGTCTGACAAAAATTTGGCCAAAAATTCCACTAAAATGGCTTCAAAGACATTTCATGTATTTATTATAGTCAATACAGAAGTTTGAACTAAAATTCAGGATGTTACATTAACACATGCAAGGAAAATGTCAATATTTTAAAATCCAACCAAAGTGGGAACCCTTTGATTGGTTTTCTAGAGGTGGAGTGGTCACTTATTCAAGAACTCACTGATATACACAAGTCAAGAAAATGTAATTCTTTAAAATTTCCCTCAATGACTTGATTATGTCACCAGACAGTACTAAAATGAGGCCCCAAAGATAAGAGAGCCAGAAAAGCATTTTCTGTAAATATACCTTCTTCCATGGTTATCATAATCTTAGGGTTCAGAAACTCATGGAATAAGTTGGGAGAGATCCTCAACCCATTTTCAGACAAGCAAACTGAGGCACAAAGGTGTGATAGGTGGGAACTGCTCTGAGTCATGGGCTTATCCCTGCACCTCCTCTGTGACTCTGAGCCTTGCTCAACCCCATTTGCTTAGGGAGAGGCAAGCTTGCCACAGAAGAGAATGGTGTTGGTGCCAGTATGCCTTATGAAGAACAGGAAAGGATGGTTCGCCATGAACTGAGCTCGGATGGGGAGTCTTTTCATGACGAAGTTGTCCCCAGTGGCCACTGCTGCCTCCGTGCCCTCTTCGTTGACATCCACATATGACTTGTGGATGACCTTTGATACATACAGGCCCTTAGCTGGTGACATTCCAGACAGATCAGCTTTACTCTGGTGGAAGATATCTGTCATCCCGAGGGATTTTAGCAGGGAATTCAGCTCATACTTGATCTCCAGTTTGAATCGGGGCAAATGGACTTCGACGTTCCTTTCTATCATGTTGGAGGAGCTGGTCCACTTGTGAAACATCTTCGCGTTCAGCCGCTTCTCTATCTAAGAGACAAAACACAGATGGACCCACACAAGCCAAGCACACACCTCTGCATTCATTGCTGCTTGTTTTGTAATTCTCAGAGTGAACTACTCAATTCCACTGACTTCTTTTCTACCTTTAAACTGTGCTCAAGTTTTATCTGAAAGAGAAAAGAATCCTGCATTCATCCACATCTTCCATTTTCTATTGTCTACTTCTCATAGATATTTTATAATTAAACTTATCCAATGTGCGTTAATTCATTCCCTCAGTGTGTCCGCTTTACCTAAACTCTCTCTAATGCCTCAGCAATTGTGTTCTCATTTCCTGGAAGAACTCAAGTACTTCTTCTTGGTTCTCATATCTGAAACATTTCATAGCAATCTCCATTATGAAGTTGTTTGTTATTTGGCTTCTGTGAAATGGGGACCTCTTGTTCCACTCCACTTTAATCTCCTCCTGCCCCACTCTTGAAGCTGACCTCTGGGTGCCTACACTTAGCAAGTCAACTCCCAAATCCCTGCTCAGATTTCCCAAAGAAGCCTCACAACCCTGACTTATTCTCCATCCAGTTCCAGATGTTTTTGTAAACTCTTCACACTTCTGTCCTTGGACATTTGAAACTCTCTACAGGCCTCCCCACAGCTCCACACTAGCATATCAAACCCCATCATTCTTCTGCAAGAGTTGAAGACTTTTGGGTCACCTCACCATCCTGACAATATCAGGTCAGTGGTTTCGCTTTCTATCTTTTCGTTCTGTCTTTTTGTGCCCTGATCCAAGTTACCACAACTTGATGACACAAAGTCATCTCGCTGTCTCATACCTCTAAGGCCTTTGTAGGTGCTCTTTGCTCTGGTTAGAACAGCCCCATGTGTGTATGTGAGCTACTGCAAGAGCCCAGAAGCTCAACTGGTCTCCTAAGCAACAAACATGCTGGCAGAGCACTGGACGGTCCCAGCAAGGCTGGGAGGAGCTGTGGTCTCTCTATAGCAGTGTCTTGCCTGCTCTGTGCCAGGCAGCTCTGACGGCAGCCAGGGAGAGGGGGACAGATTCAAACTCGCTCCACCACCCTGACCTCTTCTCAGTGGCTGTGGCTCTCATTCCTCCACAAAACCAAGACGCTAAACATGGTGGTTGGCCCACAATAGCATGTGACTTTTGGATCAGCAGTACTGCTCCTGAGAGGAAGATGACTTCATTAGATGTCCACGGACTGGGAGCCCAACCTGCATTATCATTTCATTATGAAGGTGTTTCCCCAGTGTCAACTGATCAATACATGTGTGTCTGTGTGTATAGCATGGCCCTTCTGATACCAGATGTTTTTTTAAATATAACACTAGGTTGTTTTCCCTAAGTCCATTATCCTGAAGGCAGGGGCCAGGAATCCCCCCTTTCCTCTCACAGTCCCTGGGGCAATGCTGCTAAACCAGCTCGTGATCCAATTAGTGCTGGCTGCACTGATATTGTGGGATACACACCATGTGGGGGGAGTGTGTGTGTCTGTGTGTGTGTGGTGCAAGTGCACATGTGCTTTTTCTGCTGTCAGCATTCCTATAACATACCTGTTCTAGAGTCACCGTGCCCATGGGAAGCAGGATGATCATGCTTAGTTTGTCCTGCACGTAGGGCAGCTCAAGCACTTGCATCTGCGGCTCCTTTATGACGGCCAATTTAAACCTTCCCACTTGATACATCATTTCCACAATTACGCTCTTACCCTATGTTTTTGAAAGATTGCAATTAGACAATAGCTAAACGTGTGTGCACATGCATGTGCACTGATTTTTCTTGCACGACAAATATCTGCACTAACACACTAAATGCGTGGGTAAAATATCAACTACAAAATACACACTTATTACTTTCTTATAAAAAGGTTATGATTCTGTATCCCAAAATAAGTCCTAGTGAGAGCCAAATTGTTTGAATAATGAATATAGTAATAAAAACAATAATATAGATGTTTCCCCCCCCCAAAAAAAGCCAGGGTTTCCCGATAAAATGAGTTATATAGGAAAATGGTATCATAGGATCATTTCCTTTTTAATTCAATTGGATATTTTTAGGAGAAAAATAATAGTTGTGTTGTGCCACTAGAGCAAATAGCCACAGCATATCTGGAGAACAGCCGGAAGAGAACAGGCTTTCTCCTCTTCCAGGACACCTCAGTGTCTGAAGGCTCCATTCAGGTGCCTGTGAGAAAGGTTATGGTCACTTCATAGGGAAAAATGAAAATAAAATTCATAGACTACACAGTTAAAGGTACCTACAGAGATCTAGAAGAGTATTTCCACTAAAACTTCCTAAGCTGCCTATAAAAATTATTGTAGTCTCCAAAATTTATCATCGGTCTGAAAATGAAACACGTACCTCACTTAGCTGAAAAGGGGTTTTAATCGTCTCTCTTTCCTGAAATTTATTTTGCCATTGTCCTTTGAAATATATGGCATTCACCAGGACCATCACAGAAGAAGGGTCGATTGTGCCCTTTCCGAAGAGGTTTGTAATTTTTCCTTGTAATAAGAAAAAGAATAGATAATGGATTTGGATTTAAACTTATCGATAATAGTTAAATAGTCACAATAGCTACCATTAAGTGATATGTGTATAAATAAATACCCAGCATGTGGATCCCTAATGCACACCCATGGCAGATGACAATAATCAATCTGTTCATTTATGCTAAAAATATTTTAAGAGACTTCTATGTGCCAGGCACTGTTCTAGGCACGAGAGCAATAAACTGAGGCTAGAACACTAAACTAAACAAACAAAAATCCCTACCATTCTTAACATCCTAGTGACTCCATTGCGGGCTTTTTCAGGTAACCTTAGTTTAAGTCTCAGACTCTTTCTCACCACAGAGTTCCCAGGCAGCCACTAGCAGTAGATCAGAGTTGGCATGTGAGATAAAACATATTTTCCTCTACTGTTCTAAGTAAATTAACATGTCTAAAAAAATGTGTAGAATTTTCCATGCATTTTCTAATAGTACAAAGACCTGAATTGATACATATTTTAATCTGGTTACCTATTACTGAATTTGAATGACATCCATCAATTGACAAGATACTTTTGAGAGGTCACTGCTGTTAAATGATATAATAGATACAAATATATTAGCAATAAAAGTCAGAGAAGTCTTAAGGTCTGGGAACGGGGTGGGTTAGTTTCTGGGAGAAGACACGAGGGTGACCCTGGAGTGCCCTTCCCAGTAACTAATATTTTGTTTTCCTGACCTGGATGGTGGTACACCAGAGTATTCATCATAGTGATAATTCACTGAGCAGCAAACACATCATGTATATACTTTTCTAAATATACATATATTTCAATCAAAAAGTTTATTTAAAAACTCAAGCTCTAAGGAACATATTAACCAATTGCAATGTGCAAACATTATTTGGGTTCTGATTCAAACAAAAAAAAAGAGGCAACTGGGGGAATACAAAAGCTCACTAAATATTTGTTAATTTTAAATGATTTTTTTAATTTTCTAGGTGTAATAATGGTATAGTGTTCATATTTTTTAAAAGCTTATATTTTTGACAGGCACAAACTGAAACATATAGAGAGAAAAAAGATATTGGGATTAGCTCCCAAACAATCTGAAAGAGGTGGTGGGTAAAGGGCATGGCTATCTTAAATAATATTGGCTTAAGTAATAAGTATTGCAGCTGAGTGATGGATGAATAAGGATTCCTTCTAGTTCCTCTTTTTTCTTTAAATTTTTCCTTAAATAGATTTTTTAAAAGAAATGAACACATCTCTGACATGAACATTTAATGTTCCGTTTTTAAAAAAGAAATATTTAACAATACATATAGGGTTTGTTTTAAAATTGGGAAAGGTAGATTTAAATTTAATTAAACTTACTGGCAGAATGTATGACAACATCTCTCTAATGTAGAAACAGTGTTCTTTTCATTCTCAGAGTCACTTAGCTAGATCATTGAGGACAATGGCTAAAAGAGATTTTCCAAAATATTCCCCTACTTCCTCCACAGTTAATTTGTTGTGTCTGTTTCTGGACCTCACCCTGCTTCCTCATTAACACTGCCTCAGGGAGTTTACCAGCACAAATTAAGTTTGTAGACATAAATGTGACTTATCCTTACCATTAGTTTTGCTTGCAACCCAAGCATTAATAGTTTTCCTGGTTTCTTCCGTAGACTTTTGAAAATCAACAGCTTGAAGCCTGGCTTGATACAGTTTCTCAGAACAACTTAAATATTGCTGTAAAAGAAAGGATAACTGCATAAGAACACAAAAATAATGTAAGGAAAACAAATACTTCCAGTTCGATGTATTGTAAAATTATAACAGACAAAAGCAGTTCGTGCATATATGTTGGAAAGGAAGCAGAATCCATACAGAGACATTTAGTCAAATCAAAGAACTTTCCCAAAGAAATGTTCAGGAAGTTTTGGTTGCTACCTCTGTCATCTCATGGGCATTCTTAGCTTTAAAATGTTCAAAGCAAAATGACAAATTGTGGTAGAGTGCCTACCTTTTCACTCTATCCCTCCAATTTCCTCTTCAAAGGACACAAACAAATGGGAGTGACTGTTCTAATGTTCCACATAGGAAAACTGAGAACTGGAATGGTTAAATGGTTTCCTTGTTTAAGGTCTAACAAAAGGTTAGGTCTCTATATGGTATATTTCAACCTCCTCATGAGCCACCACAAGTAAAATTAATAATAATATTCTCTGATGTAGACATTGACATTTTTTTCAACTTTATATAAAATCACACTGGTCAAACAAAAGCTAAGACACTGAAGCCAGCAGATCAGCTCAATCACAGCAGGATGACGTAGCAATGAAAAACAGGAATATGGATTTGGACAGGGATCAAATTCCAGCTTTGCCACTTAATTATCTCTTTGACCTTTCTCAACTTGACTTTTTATTATTTGCTTCACAATTGTGGTATTAATGACAATTTTGTACCTGCATCTTAGGACTATGTAAGAATTATATAAGACTAGTAGCCCTGCACACAATTCCGTGTGCCAGTAGCTCTCTGTGGGGCCTGGCCGCTCTGCACTGGCTGCCCAGAGGCTCTCTGCAGCCCAGAGGCCCATCCACAGCCAGGCACGGAACGCTTGCCTTGTCACCGAGGCGACAATGCAAGTGTTTCTCCCCACCTCCCCACCGCTCCATGCCCACTGCCCAGAGGCCCTCCATGGCCAGGGTGACAAAGCAAGCATTCCGCCAGGCCGCTCACACTGCCCACTCTTAGCAGCCACCCCCCTGGTATTGGGGGACTCCGGCAGAGCTGAGAGGACTGGGCGCCACCATCTTGTGGCTATGGGCACTGCCATCTTTGTAACAGAGTGATGGTTAATTTGCATATTACCCTTTTATTAGATAGTCTTATTAGATAGGATAATGTCTATAATGTATGTAGTAGAGTGATTGACACATAGTAAATACTCAATAAAACTCCATATTCCAATGCTATTGGGAAATGGCATAAATAGTGTTAGAATTTTGTAGCAAAAGAAAAAAAAATGCTTGATCTAATCCTCTCATTTTAAAGGTAGAAGTGACTTGCTCAAAGTCATATGTCTAAAGGAGAACAGAACTCAGATCTCTTGGCTCCCAGTCCAGTGTACTTTCCACTAATTCTTGATACTCTGCCTTTTAGGACCTTTGAAGAAGAGATGAGAAATGGATTTTTGGTGTTTTTTTCTGGTCCATAAGGGTTAATTCTTACCTGCTTTATTTTGTGCTTCATCCCTAACATTGGTTCTTGGACAACTTTGGTGATATTGCATAAGTAATGTTTTTATGTTATATTTCATAACCTTAAATGGGGGATTGGTGAAACCATTTCATTGAAACTCTAACAGGGTTCACATTTAATCTCTTAAAGATAAATGTGACTCTTTTCATTTGTGATTTATCTTATGGTGTGAAATTCAGAGGATGCCAAAGAAAGTTGTTGACTTACCTGATAGAATGCCATTGTCTGTGTCCCGTAGAGTCTGTTAGCGATTCTGAGGGTATAGTTAGAGTCTGGCTGGTTGATTTGAGAGAATAGGGCTCCAAACTCTGAGTGAATCCTTCCAGTTTGGCTGCACTAAAGCACAGTAAACAAAGAATATAGTATTAAGTTGCTAGATTAAATTACTTGATTTATAGAAGAGTTATAAATAACATGAAAACAACAAAGAGACTTGAAAGCATTTTTCTTCTCTAATTTCCTCTGGCACAATAATCTCAGCTCTCTGTGACTCTGGTTACAGATTGTGTGCAGAACTGAAAGCTATTGCAAAAGCACATGTACTTCCAGCCCCAACGTTTTAATTCAAAACTTGAAGTTATCATATATAAAGAGATCCTAATTGGATATTCAGGGCAATAATCCAAGTTTTCTGTGCATTTTTTCTGCCTTTGTACCTATAGAATCATTTCTGTTTTCTCTCACACTCCTTTCAATATCTCCGTTTCTGTGACCACTTAATAGATCTCTTCAGCTCCTCCCTGAACTGACCTTCCATGCCCATCTGTCCCTCATAGGAGGAATCTGGTTAAGCATGCAGCTTTGATGCATTGGAATTCATGGACAGTAGAAGGGTTATGCCTATATTCCCTAAAGTAAAGTTTGCCTAACAATAAATTAGGCTCTGTGAGACAAGTATTCTGTGAATCTATACCCATTTATATGCTTTCTGTCGGTCACAATCAACACACAACTATTGTCATGTGGGAGTTTTGTATACATTTCATTTCTAAAGAAATTTTCTTACTGAAAGGAATTAAGAACAGGTGGGCTGGGCAGCATCGGGCCCTGTTTTCCTGGTGTATAATTATGTGACAAAGCCTCAATCCCCTCACTAGTCTGAAAAATGTAACACTGCACATGGCAGGCTCAACATGCACACAGTTTGTAAAAGAACAGAAAAGTTTGATGACAGTAAGTCACATGATAAAATCTGGGGATTTTATTATTGTCGTCATCATTATGTTAACTCTGTAGGCTAGCAAGTATAAGGAAGATTGAAGGAGGTCACCAAGGAGGACATTGTAAGCCTCCTTAAGGAAAAAAAAGGGGCTCTGCTACTCAACCCCTGCACCATTATCTCTTGGTGCTCTCACAAAGAGTGCTTGACAGCTCAGCAGTCATACCTTAGCTGAGTCCTTAAACTCTGGCTTTAATGATTCTGCAATATGATTAAAGTGAAGCACCTAGAAAATGAAAGAAGAATCAATTGGCATCAAAAGCAGCATATAGTCTATAAAGATTAACAGTTACAAGTACCTGTTTTTCCATTTCAGATAAAGACCAATGCAATAGCTAACATTTAAAGATGTTATATTCCAAGTCCTAAATATAACATTTAAAAATGTTATATTTATAAGCTTTTACATATCTTACTTAACTCTCCCAGCAACTTTATGAGTAGATGCTATTATCCCCATTTTTTGTGAGAGAAATTGAGCCAAAGAAAGATTAAGTGACATGCCTGGGACCATTGTCTGTGAGAGTCCAGGGATTGAGTTATCATTCACTAGACCCTTCTCCCCTCTCCTTCCTTTCTCACACTATTCACTGTGACAGAACCCATCCAGGGCCACGTAAAACATTACATGGTTTTCCAGCACAATACCTATTTTAAATGCAAAAATAAATCATGAAAGCGCATCAAAATATGGAATAAAGAAATAAAAGACAAATAATAATGGAATGTGCAAGTATCCTGGAAGTTGTTGAATGACATTCTTCTAGGATTTTCACATCAATAAACTACATACGTAATGAAAAACCACTGTATATCAGCCTGTGTAACCTGAAAAGTCACCCTCAGCCTAGGTAACCTGAAAAGTCACCCTTTCTCTCTTAGCCTGAAAAGTCACCCTCAGCCTAGGTAACCTGAAAAGTCACCCTCAGCCTAGGTAACCTGAAAAGTCACCCTCAGCCTAGGTAACCTGAAAAGTCACCCTTTGTCTCTTAGCCTCAGTTTCCCCAACTATGAAATAGGGATAACAATAGCTACTTGCCACACAGGGTTATTATGACATTCAAATACATTAAAGAATTTTTTAAAAACTCAATAATTCTTAAAGTGACATTAAATTGTATTATAAATTAAACTTCTAGAGGGCAAGAATAGTATTGTATATGTGCTTTCTGTTATGTTTAAATCATTGAAAGGATGAACTCTAAAAGTAATTGTGGGAATGTATGTGTGAAACCACCCATGGTGAGGAAGAGACTGTATTACATGTATGGCATTATTATATTACTAGAGGCCCGGTGCACGAAATTTGTGCATGGGAAAGGATGGTCTCCTCAGCCCAGCCTGTACCCTCTCCAATCCAGGACCCCTCGGGAGATGTCCAACTGCCAGTTTAGGCCTGATCTTGGGGATCAGGCCTAAACCGACAGTCAGACATCCCTCTCACAATCCTGGACTGCTGACTCCTAATCACTCACCTGCCTGCCTGCCTGGTTGCCCTAACTGCCCCCCCCTCCCCTGCTGGTCTGATCACCCCTCACTGCCTCTGTGTGCTGGCCTGGTTGCTCCTAACTGCCCCCCCTGCTAGCCTGGTCGCCCCTAACTGCCCCCCCTGATGGCCTGGTGGTCCCTCATAGACCGCTGCCGGTCTGGTCGCCCCACGCAGCCTGCTGTTCAGTCTTTGGTCGTCCCCCCTGCCAGCCTGGTCGTAGGCAGCCATCTTGTGAGGGCATGAGGGTTAATTTGCATATTACCTCTTTATTATATAGGATAATGTATTACATTATTTAAGTCATTATCCACCTTTTTTTAAAATATATTTTATTGATTTTTTACAGAGAGGAAGGGAGAGAGATAGAGAGTTAGAAACATCGATGAGAGAGAAACATCGATCAGCTGCCTCCTGCACATCTCCTGCTGGGGATATGCCCACAACCAAGGTACATGCCCTTGACCAGAATCAAACCTGGGACCTTTCAGTCTGCAGGCCGATGCTCTATCCACTGAGCCAAACCAGTTTCGGCTCATTATCCACTTTTAAGAAATATGATTTGCCCAAGTGTGTTTTTTCACAAGATGGCAGTTTTCTTGGTGTAAAGATATAAGTAATTTGGCTGACCCATAGGGGGCACAGGTAAAACTTCCAGACTCTGGGGACATCTTTGGTGCATTCCATACCTTTTCCATCTGTTCTGCACTGTTTCCTCTGGCACCAAGGAGGATCATACTCAGAGCATAAAGCAAACTCAGTGGGGAAAAGAAGATATTATCTTCCACATGGTTATTGTTCAGCTCTTTGAACACATCAAGGCAAAATTCAATGTTTGCTGTGCTGAGGGAATCCATTTTATGACCAGCACTACCTGAGAACAGAAAAAAAACAGCTCAGAATATTACTTTCAGATATAGATAATACGTGGAGTTTAGTTATTACATTTCAGGAATTAAAGAGCCCGAGCACACTGCTTCAGAAATTAGAAAATGCTAGAGAGGGGAATTCACAGTAGTTTTAGATTCTAATGAATAGAAGATTTACTGTTCTTTTCAACCAATACTTCAAAGCTATCATTTGTGCACATCTAAAAGTGATCTGATTGTTCTGGAGCAAAAGAGCAGAAGGAATTAGATCTTTGTGCTCTGAATTTTCATGTTTAACAACACTCCCCACCCTGGAATTTGTACAGAAAAATTCTTGAGCTACATAGACTCAGCTAAATGAGGTACTTTCCCACTAGACTGTTCACTGTCACAAGGTGAGAACACTTGCATCCTGGTCATTCATGAACAAACAAGGTGAGAATCAATAAGACAAACTCAGGCAAACTTCTCTGCTCATTTCCTCCATGAAAGTAATGCAATACTAGCAAATAGGTCATGCCATGAGAAGGTGCCCAAAGCCCTCGCCGTGGGCCGCAGCCACGATGTCAATGAAATTGGAGGACTGGAAGAAGAAAATCTGAGAGAAAAATATAATTCTGGAATATGTGTTATCTAAAGACAATGTTTTGTCAGGAAGGAAGGGTTTATTTTATTCAGTCCCATAAACACTTATTGAGCAATCCTAACTAAAAGGGGTTGTAGATACAAAACTTATTGAGTACAGTTCTTGCCCTTGGGGAGGTGTCATTCTCCAAAAACCTCCATTGGCATCAAACACTTTCTTCCTTTAACCTCTAGGTCATTGTTTTTTCTTGGTTCACCACCTGCCTCACTGGGCCAGTCCTTCTTGGTCTCATTTGCAGAATCTCAAATCTTAGTCCTCTCCTCTGTTTACACTCAGACAGGTGATCTCACCCAATTTCCAGCGTTAATTGTCACTGATATGCTTTTAGCTACCAAACTTATATTGCCCTTGAATTCCAGATTCATATATCTAACTACCTACTCAACATCTCTACTTGAGTGTCTAATATGAATCTCAAATTTAACATGTCCAACAGCAAACTCGTGACTTCCTGAACCTCTCTCCAGCATACACCCCTAGCAGCTATCTTGATCTTTGTAAATGGCAGTTCAATTTCTTCATTTGCTCAGACTAAAAACTGTGGGATCATCCTTAAACACTTTCTCATTCACATAACATTCCATCTATCAAAAAATCCCATTTTCTCCGTCTTCAGAAATACTCACCATCTACCCATTTTTCACACTCTCCAGCTACCACCCTGGTGAAAGCTATCATCATCCCCCTCATGGATGATGTACTCTCCCAATTCATTTTCCTACTTTAGTCCTGACCCACCTCCATTATATTTTCTAGAGAAGATAGAGTGATGTTTTTAAATACCAGTTGGTTATGTACTAACGGCAGAACTGCTTATGGCCTTTGCTCAAAAACCCTAGTGGCTTCCCTTTCTTTCAGAGCAGAGGCCAGACTCCTTCATGATCTGGCCCCTACAACTCTCAGTCTCATCTGCTACCAGCTTCCCCACCAGCTCCCTCTGTTCTAGTCATATCAATGCCCTGCAGATTCCACCTCAAGGCTTTTGCATGTTCTATTCCTCTGCTGGGATGCTCTTCCCAAAATTATCCAAATGGCTCACTCCAGCAGTTCATTTCTCTCTCTGCTCAGATAACACCATCAATAAGGCTTTCACTGGCCACATTTCTCCAGTTATCTTTCAGTCCATTACAATAGTGTATACATATATATGCACAGTTTTACTTATTTGCCCTATGTATTATATATGCATAGTGTACTTATTTATTTGCCATATATTATATATATTTATATAAACATAAATAAACTATATATACATGAATATATTATAGAGTATGTTATATATTATACATGTATTTATTGTCCTGAAACCCCCTTCCTTTAGAGTACAACCTCCATTAAAACAAAGACTTTGTTTTTTATGCTTTATTTCACTATCTAGACCAGTCCTGGCTAGCCACTCACTAAACATCTATGGAAGGAAGAAATTTTAATCAAATTAACACTAGGATATACAGGTATGATAAGGTGTCAGCAAAAGCCACACTTGCTTAAAGAATAAGCTGCCCCTCATTTGGTTCACTACAACCCTGTCCAAATGCCATATTTTGCTACTCTGATCTGTTCCCCTTTGACAACAAGCACAGCTGGAGCTCTTTACCTTTGTTGCTTTCTGGTGGTGAAGTGGACAGTTTGGTAGGTGAGATTGGAGCTGCGTCCCTGAAGAGGAAATATAAAGCCTTCACTTTTTGCCCCTCCCTTTCCATTTGTGTCCTTAGTGATTCAGCTCTACACTTGCTGGGAGGTAAGTTCAGCCCTCAGAGGAAGGCTCCTTAAATGTCATCAGAGCGGCTTTGAGTCCCTGAGATTCTCAGGATGGCCAGTGTTTTCTGGAGAAGCACCCAGTTCTTGAACATTCTCTGCTCTGCTAAAGGGGAAACATTGGCAAGCTAACCTCTATTCAAGAAAATAAGCCAGCTGTCTAAAAAGAATAATGTGTACACATTCAAGTTGGCAGTGCCATATTCCACATCCCAGGGATTGCCCATGTCCACTTGCAGGCACAGAGCTACTCAATGGGAAAGATTCTGGCCGTGATGGACGCTTCCTGGCCCAAACACATTCGTCCCTAGATCTTTTGTGCCCTCCTCCATGGAGCATAGGTTTTTACGTGGAGCTTCAGCAATCTGCTGGCAGGTAATTCCTGTCCCATAAAAAGAACAGAAGAATGAGCTCCAGCCGGAGTTATTCTGTGGTTTCAGTTTAAAAGCTTGGTAGAAGCAACAAGCCAACCGTACTTAAAGTGAGTTCAGAAGTATGATTCAAGACTGTGTAAAAGAGATTATAGATTAGGGGTAGGGATGAAAGCTGGAGACAAAAAAAAAAATGTCTGCAGTATACAGTAGCCAGAATCAGCACTATGTGACAAGCCCAGCTTACCAAACCATTCTTGTCCACATTACCCACAGCCCATCCTCCTGGGTTGATTCCACTGCCCAAAGGTAAGCTCTGATGGCTGAGTGCACTGCACTGAGGTTATAAAAAAAAGCCCTTCATGGCCAGTGACGTCTCTCTTCTTCCTCAGCATGCAAGGTGTCATCCCTGGACACAAGGAAACCACTCTACTAGACATGAGAACTAGAAAAGTTAGATTTAAAATGATGGCCCTAATAGCCACTTTGCACATAAAAATACCTGTATGCAACCAACCATAGAACTAAAAGGAGTCCAGAATCTGTCCAGTCTTTCTGTGCTCAGAGCAAGGGTTTTTTTGATGTGAGCCAATTCCAGCCAGAGGTTTCCATGGCTTGGAAACCTCATATCAATGCGTAAGGCCAATCCTGCACTTCTTCATCTTGTTTTCATCTCCCTTGAGGTCTAATTAAAAAAGGACTGATTTTCTTAGCTTCCTTGCTAACTAAGAAGGGCTGATCAAAGGAGGTCTTTTTCATCCTTGGTCTACTGTACTCTTGTTATTTTCCTTATCAGAGGGGAAGCTCTTGGGCTCATTTTTTTAAAATATATTTTTATTGACTTCAGAGAGGAAGGGAGAGGGAGAGAGAGAAATAGAAACATCAATGATGAGAATCATTGATCAGCTGCCTCCTGCACGCCCCCTATTGGAGATTGAGCCCACAACCCAGGCATGTGCCCTTGGCCAGAATTGAACATGGGACCCTTCAGTACGCAGGCAGATGTTCTATCCACTGAGCCTAACCAGCTAGGGCAGTGGTCAGCAAACTCATTAGTCAACAGAGCCAAATATCAACAGTACAACAACTGAAATTTTTTTGAGAGCCAAATTTTTTAAACTTAAACTATATAGGTAGGTACATTGTTATTAACTTAATTAGGGTACTCCTAAGCTGGCCTTTGCTAAAAACATCCTCAATCTGATTGAGGTACATTCGCTGAAGTCGACCCCTTCCAAATCTCCCATCCACACTCGTCTTGTATACTTGTTTCATCTATCTCCTTTCCGAAACCAACTTCTGCGCATGGGCCACAAAGTTTCAATCGCACTGTACGTGCACGCCCGCATGTGGTATTTTGTGGAAGAGCCACACTCAAGGGGCCAAAGAGGCGCATGTGGCTCGCGAGCCACGGTTTGCCGACCACTGCCATAGACCTTCAGAAGAACCTTATAAAAAGTATCTTGAAACTGCCTTCTCAGTAGAAGAATGAGGGAAGCCTTTGTCTCTTGGCTTTCAGCCCATTGGCTTTCATCCCATTGACCTATGAACTCAGGTTGCACTTGTATGGGTACCAAGCATGTGCAACCCACACCAAGGCATCAGAAAAGCTCTGGAGCTGGAAATGAGATGTGAGGGGAGGTGCTGTCAAGTTGAAATGCACAAAATTATTTAGATCTTGTGCAGAACCGGTAGTCTTGCTAGCAGCTAGATTAGGAGGTGGGGTGGCAGAATTTGAAGTGGCTCAGAAGAGGTGGCCAACACATTTCATCTATGCCATAGCCTGCTGGTGGTTCTGGGAGAGGAGCTTCCCTCCAGTTTCCTGAGGTAGGTGCTAGCTGTCCTAAGAAAGTGCCCATTCCGGTCTATTCTTTCTGCCCTAGGTTTTCCAGGGCAGCACCCTCCATTGAGATTCCAGTAATTTCCGTGACTAGGTTGGATGTATGTCTAACTCTAAGAACCAGAATTAGAAAACCCATTTTAGGCTCATATCTAATCTTGTTTCAACCTGTCTTTTTATCTGTCATAAATATTTTGTTCTCCATCCTCCCGAATTCACTTTCTCTCAAAATTTTTCAGGATTTGAGTGAGGTAAGAAGTGTTCTTTTCTGGGTCTCATAGCCTAGGACAGTGAGCGTGGGCTGGAGAGTGGAGTGCAGGCTGGATTTCTGCCCCCAGCTACTCCCTCAGCTCGCCCAGGTCACCACTAGCCCCACCTGTACTTGCTGGCTTTCATCAGAAGTTAAGGGAGAGAAAAACCTGGAGGTAACTTGGAGAACTAGGAGGGTATAAGTGATCTTAGCAGACATTGCATAAATGGTGTCCTAAGACATTGTGTAAATAGTGCTCTGTGTTTTATCGGGCAGCCCCACCTATTTGGCATTTTCTTGAGAGACTGTGGTAAATATATATATTTACTGACATTTGTTTGAATTAGATACAGAATTAAGAAAGGTTCACAAAGCAGCTTGATGTGAAGCTGGCTACTAAATTTTTGTAATGAAGGGCAAACTAAAATGACCACCAAGTGGTGGTTGTTAGAGGAAAGAGAGAGAACAATCGGTGGGGAAAGTTATTCAAGAGGTGTAAGGGGTAAGGGAGGAAGTACCAACTTTACACAATGATATATGGCCCTTCCCAAACACAAGAGCAGAGAAGGATGAATACGCATTTAAATAAATTTGCACATATAGCTGTTAAAAATTTTGTCTAGACTGTTAATTCCTCATGGACAGGGACTATGTTTTGCTAAATGCCGACATGTGGTAAGCACTCAATAACCATGTGTTACACTAAACTGGCTATCTTTTTATTGAGAGGAAGAAAAAGTGATGCAGTTCAGGTTGGGGTAAGGCAAGAGATGAAGGTTTGGAATTGGCCATTTGGAAAATTGGAGGGTAGCCTGGTCAAGAACACACCAAAGGCTTCCTCACTGACTGCAGTTGAGGAGGATCCACACATGATCAGTAATATAAAGTGAGAATGATATTCCAACAAGTAATTTTGCTATGGTTTGTACCTCCTGGGCTTCCCCACAACCAGCTTGCAAAACATCCATTTTTTGATAGGATGTTTTCAAAATGGTGGGACTTTTTTCAATGAATCCCTATAACTCTTATTTTCCATTGCAGATAGCAATTGCTTCAAAAGAAGTCATGCCATGTGAAAATCAAGAGTTTTGAAAAAAACATTTAGAAAACTTTGTTCTTAGTTAGCATCTGACAAATACCCAGTTGTAACAAAATGGAGTGTGAAGCACAGACTCAAGAAAAATAATCAGCCCTGACTGGTTTGGCTCAGTGGATAGGGCGTTGGCCTGCGGACTTATGGGTCCCGGGTTCGATTCCAGGCAAGGGCATGTTCCTTGGTTGCGGGCACATCCCTGGTAGAGGGTGTGCAGGAGGCACCTGATTGATGCTTCTCTCTCATCGATGTTTCTAAACTCTCTATCCCTCTCCCTTCCTCTTTGTAAAAAATCAATAAAATATATTTTTTTAAAAAAGAAAAATAATCAGCTATGTTACTGTTTTATTTTCCAGGAGGCACAGAAAGTGCCTTTCAACCATAATAAGCAACCCTAAGGATTAGAAAGATGGATACTTCAAGCCTCGTATAGGTCTCAATACTTTAGTCTGTCCACTTGGAGTATTTCCTCAAGTAAGTCAAAAGGAATTCACTACCAGAAACTTGGCTTTGAAAAATTCTATAAGTCTCATCAAAAGCCACAATTAAGAAACTAGGTGAGCTGCAATTTGGGGAAAATATTCACAATGCATATACCTGCATAAGTGTTTGTATATAGCAAACACAAAGAACTACAACCCCACAAGCTAGAGATAAATAAATGAACGATCCTTGGCCAGTGTTGCTAAGCAGTTAGAGCATCAACCCAAGCACCAAAGACTCTCAGGTTCAATTCCCAGTCAAGGGCATGTGCCTGGGTTCCAGGTTAGATCCCCGGCCCCGGCCAGGGGTTGTACATGTCTCTCTCACATCAATGTTTCTCTCTCTCTCTCTCTCTCTCTCTCTCTCTCTCTCTCTCTCTCTCTCTCTTTCTCTTCCTCCTCTGTTCCTTCCAACCTCTCTAAAAAGCAATGGAAAAAAATATCCTCAGGTGAGGATTAAAAAATAATAATAATAAAATAAATAAATTAATTAACAAAATATTTGTATAGGCAGTATAGGCACTTCACTGAAGATTATGTATGAATGGCCAACAAGAACATAACAAGGTGCTCAGCAGATTAGTCATCAGAGAACACAAAGTCATACCACATCACACCCACTAGAATGAGTAAATAAGAAAGATTGACTACAACAAATGTTGACCAATGTAAGGAGCAACCAGGCCTCTCCTATACCGCTGGTGTGAATGCAAAATATTACAACCACTGGGGCAAGTGCCAGCCTCTTAAAAGGTTAAATATGCAACTACCCTGTGATCTAATGAGTCCTCTGCAAAGTATTTATCCAAGGGAAATGAAAACATATTTCCACAATAAGACTTGTACA